TCTAACGCGCTGACACCAGCACGATGGGACGACGCGAACATGTCTATTTATCTGCAACAATAAAACAAACAATCTCTAAGGTTCAAACAGAAGTAACATTCGCAAAACAATGTCTCTTACGAATATTTTTGTGAATCAAATCTTTGCCGGTTTTTAAAGCCGTGAAATTCCAACAAAATACCCACGTAAAATCATGAGCGTGTGGGTTTTACCGCACGATATGTGAAAATGCAACTTTAGCGCAAACTCCTAAACTAATATGATGTCGCTGCTATAAGCACCGACGAGAGCAATTTATCAAGTTTATGAATTGCTCAGATAGCTTAGACAGTAAGGGGACAAACTCTCAGCTGTTGTTAATTTAGCTATTCACAAACTAAGCTTAAGCCAAAAAAACATTAATCTATTAATGTCAGTTTGCTTTAGGATGCGGCAAGTCAATTTTAATGTTGCTTTATGTGGGTTTTTCTTGTGCGTCTTTATTGAGCTAAGATGAGTCAAACCGGATTGCACGACACGGACTCTTTCACAGGCTCTCTTATAGGACTCTTATAGGCTATCTTATATCCTCTTCAGGACTCTGTTATAAGAAATACTACCTACGTTTGAGGAAAATTGGCTAAAGTTTTGAGATATTAACCATTTATTAATTAAAACACGTAAGAGATTCCAAGCATTAACTTAAATATGTTTAATTTTTTATTATTAACTGGATTTTTTTGAAGTGAAACTTCTTTAGGCGCATAAGGGTAAAATTTTTACAGAACGTCACGCAGGTATGCAACGGAAGTGACATCAAAGTACTATTGAAATTAAGTACTTGTCAAATGTCAGTAGTAGTAGTTGTTGTATTTTTCCAACTGGAAAGGCAAATGTATCATACCATACAGCCTAATATTTTATATTTTTTTTTGTGAAAAATGTTAATAGGAATTGAAATGAAATGAAAAGAATTTGGAACATTAATTAAATAGCATGAAATTAAATTAGTCAATTCAATTGGCAAAATATTAGTCATTTACAATTTAGAAATCTAAACATGTCTAAACCATAGACCTATATAGTAGGGACACGACATATTGTTCTATACGTACAATTGCTTATATAAATAGCACCCATTTTGAAGGCATACACATAAACATATATCTATCTCGTTCTTACTCAGCACTTTAACTCGCAGGAAAACAATATAACAGTATTTCAGTGCGTACATAAAATGAAACATGAATATACGTAAATGTCTCCGTCTCCGTCTAATGAGGCCGAAAATCCGCCATGTTTAGCGCACCAAATGTCATTGTCACGTCAGGTCGGCCGTCTGTTTTGGGTTGTACATTATTTATTGACTTTGATATCGATTTAATATGATTGCTTATATAAATTTTTTTATTTTATCATGCTTAAAACATACAAAAATAATAATTAAAACATATTTTATAGGATCTCAAGAAAGTCGATGCCCCAAAACTATTATGTATATATATTTAAATTCATTATGGAGCCCTCATCCGAAAAATCGGACACCATTTTTCGGTCGGAATCTATTGATCATGACACTAATCATAAATACCACTTTAAAATATGTCATCAAAACATATTTAGACATTCTGTTTAGATATTTCGGGAAAAAGGCTACCGACAAAATCTCTTTTTTTTTTTTATTGCCTTTGTAGGCAGACGAGCATACGGCCCACCTGATGGTAAGTGGTCACCGTCGCTCATGGACGTCAGCAATGCCAGGGGCAGAGCCAAGCCGCTGCCTACCATAACATCTCTTCGGAACTATTTAAATAAAATAGTTTTATTCCGCAGTGGGTAAAACACTATTGTAAATTCGTTAAATATTTAATAATTAAGTGATTTTAGAGAGGAAGTCACAAGGAATGACGTTTGTAATTTTATTAACGAATAAATGTTCTGTAGGTGTTTTTTTTTATCAGGCGGTCCTTTGATAAGTTTCAAATTTGAATCACTCTCAAGTGAGAGTGATGCAAATGGTGCGGCACACCTTCCTTGAGGTGCGCTGCGGTAGTGTGTTACGGACTTTAGAGTCAGCAAAACATTTAAAATAGGTTGTAATAGTCTAAGAAAAACACGTACTCAAAATACGATAACATTCAGCACGCTAGAAATGGGCAGATGGCACTGTACTACGCCATATCTTTATGTTTTGCGGCAAACGACAACTTTATAAAATCAGTGTAGCAAATTTTAAAAATCGTCATATCGTTTACTTGGCAAATTTGGAGCACGAACTCGTCTTAGATTTCACATAATATCTAAATCACATCATCTTTGCACACAACAATATACTTACTTCCTATTAAAGTATAAATTCTACAAATACATTTATACTCAACAATATTTAAAATAAAATGAGCCAGGAACGTTTATCGATAAAACCTACTAACATTAAAATCTTCTGGGCAGCACTAAAACCGCCATGTTTTGTGGCCAGATGACGTCACAGTGGCACGAATTTTTTGTTGACGTTTCATTTCCATAGGTTTCCTACTTCAGTGGTCTAAACAAGTCAAGTGACTGTCAACACTGAGGTTTGAGATTGACATTTGACAGACTTTTGGCGAGAACATAATATCTTCCTTTTTCCCTTCCTCTAAGTCTCGGAAATCTAAAGTTTTAGATTTGTATAAATATAAGCAAGACTTATAAATTAGTTCGCCAAAAAAGTTTCACTTCTGACATGTGTACTTTGTACGTACGCACTTTTTTTATTGCACAGATAGGATAACACTTTGAAAGGAGAGACATCTATAATATACACGATGATGTTCCCGATTAACTTGCACGGTAAAGGAATAACACCGTGTAATACAAATCAAAGCCGCACGTAATTAATGGTGGCAGGACGTCTTGTGAGTCCGCACGGGTAGGTATCACCACCCTGCCTATTTCTGCTGTAGAACAGCAATACGTTTCGGTTGGAAGAGTGGGGCAGCCGTGGTACTGTTAAAACTGACACCTTAGAACTCAGGTCTCAGGGTGGGTGGCGGCATTTACGTTATAGATCCCTGTAGGATTCAGCAACCATTTGAAGACAGGTAGGCCATGACTTCATTCACCCATCTAAGGAAGAAAAGACACAATAGATGCAGCAGACGGAACGGAAACTTCGATTTTATATCTCAAATTGAAAGGTGCTGTATTCCAAAGTGTTTCCCGAGCGCTGAGACGTGTCCTTCTGGAAACGTAGCTTGCATAGAAAATGCTCAGCTGAAAGCGGCGACTTGGCTATGTACCTTACATTTCTAACGTCCATGAGGGGTACAAAGGTCATAGAACAAACTATGTGTTCCGATTATAATTTAAGTGTGACAGTAAAAATGCTATAAACCTACGACCATGTGGTTGTTTATTTTTATTGCTTAAGCTGGTGGAGGAGCTCACGGCCCACCTGGTGTTAAGTGGTTACCGGAGCCCATAGACATCTCTAACTTAAATGTGGCCACCTACCTTTGAGTTCTGAGGTCTTAGGTTTTTACAGTACAACGGCTGCCCCACCTTTCAAACCAAAAGGCATTACTGCTTCACGGCAGAAATAGGCAGGTTGGTACCTACCCGTGCGGACTCTTGTGACAATAGTTTATCATCAGTCATAACTCTTTAGGAAATATGTTGTCAACTGTCGTCGTTGCGGATTGAACTCAAACTGCAGTATAGGAAGCACTTATTTATTCCACACGCTCCTTAAAATCGTATACATTACCAATCAATTGGCTTTTTATCTTTGAACCTTTTAAAAACGTAAAACACAATTTTTTATATCATGACATTTTTCCCTCAATCTGACAGCCTGTCTTTTTTCTTAGGGATGTCTCCCGTTGCTAGTGCTGTGTGTGAAAAAACCATTCACCACACCTCCACTTACCCTCCTTTTTTCGGTAAATGAAAATGAATAATGCGCTCACGTATTAGACGCCGCTATATTCGAATTGAGCTAACTGAGACATTCTGTAGTTCAATAACCGTGTCCGACCCTCGCCGATGATAAAACTCAGTCATAGAAAAGTGCTTATGTCAATGCGCATTTTTTTGAAGGGAAAACTTCTTTAGAATCGTTGTGATTTGAAACCGGATGCAACGGAAAAAACGACAGGTAAGAGACACAAATACAAAAATGTGTAGGATGAAGCCAGCAAAGAATGAGACAGAAATATACATACTATTTAATACAGCGCCATCTGTGAGATTTTTTAATACTAACGTCTGTATGAAAGCTCTTGTATGTGTGATTTGAAGTGAATTTTAATTTAGGATTATACGTGAAATTAAAATATCAATTCACAGAGGGCGCTACCTTACAATTATTTACTAATGACAAAATTTTACATATACTTAAGACGTTTAGTTAATTGTATTTTAATTTTGGAAGGTTTCACTTCTACCACGTGTGAATTGCACTCATGTATTTTTTTTCGAAACACCCCCTGAAATTGTGGTGTTCTACCTCGGCGCTGGGTAGTTTCAATACCCGACAAATCTAGTGCAGATTCGGTAATTCATATGAATTAAAAAAAACACGTGTGGCACTCGCGGACTGCCGCGGTAATAGCATTTTTTTTTTTTTTG